ATTCTAATTGCTAAACAACCTTTCTTTGCTTATCGCTGCAAAGATAAGCCTCAGAAAAAGTCTCCGAACAGCCCTGGGGATACTGACCTTCATGGAGGACTGAAACTCCTCCCATAAGGCACCAGGGACATGCTGGGGCAGTAAGAGCAGCAGCTCCGCACAGCTCCTGTGGATCAAACACAGCCATTTTTTTAAAGCCACATTTAGGTCAAGGATGTGCACACACTCCAAAATATAAGGGTAACCACTAAGTGAGATCAGTCAGTTTGACATTTTGGAAATACAATAAAGTTTTAAACAGCAACAATGCAGGGTGTAAGTCAGTAGCAGTGAGACACTTTAGTTAGATGGATCAATATAGGTGTTATTAAATAGTTGTTTATAATATGGTAGTTATGGAAAAACAGCTCAGAAAGGCTTCATCAGTAATTGTGATAAATACTTAAGTTGCATTCTTGGCATTAATAATGGTTGCCTCTGATTCCCTTCATTTTGTGTATGGAGTGCACCTCCATGTGCAAAGTAGCTCGTCCCAAATATGTCGAAGCTCCCCAAGAGGTAGCCTACATTTCTATTCTGTATTACAGCCTCAAGGACTTTGCCTCCAATAACTACTTCAACAGCACATTGTGCGAATAGCTGAATAGTTCCTGTATACTGTTTGCTGAGTCTTTCTAAATGTTTCATACGGTATCTAAATTTCCTTTGAGATTTGGGTGTGTTTAGTTTTATTGTTATTGTTATTGTCAAATATTTTGCATCTTTCATGTAATATCTAAAGAGATCACTGTCAGCCAAAGACAAAGCTACACCAGTGGAACGGCAAAGCAAACTAATGTTAATGCATTATAATGCTAATAATGTTAATGGTGTAACGTAATGCAGTAATAGAAAATAAATAAATACATTTACTCAACTACTATAAGTATACAAGTGTGTGTGTGTGTGTGTGTGTATATATATATATATATTTATTTACTCCACTACATCTCAGTGGGAAATACTGTACTTTTCACTCTGTTACTTTGCATATCAACAAAAGAATTATGATGTTTTAGATAAGACATAAAAAAAATTACCCAGCAGTATAAAAAGTAATGAAAATAAGCTCCACTTTTAATAGCTGCAAAACTTTTACTCAAGTCAATTATTGAATGCTAGACTTTCACTTGTAACTAAGTATTTCTAAACTGTGGTATTACTATGTTGACTTAAATTAATGATGAGTTTATCTTTTACCACTGACGTCATCTGCACATCCACAACCTGTAAGCCATTCTTTGCCACATCAACTTTACACTAACACAGGAGAGCTTGAAGGAGATGCTCTCCCCTAATATACAATCTGAGCATTATATTTCTGTCATCCATGCATAACATGTAGTTACACATCGACAGTAAAGATGCTGTTTGAAAGAACAAGACAAAATAATACAGGATTTTAAGAAATTTCCAGCGACACCCCTGTCAGAGTCTCTACTCACAGTGCTAACTTTTCAAGTAGCAGTGGCACGTTTTCACATTCAGAGGAGAGACAGGAGGCGGCCTTAGCAAAGCTGAGGATAGCTACAGTGTAGACCTCCAGCAAAGGCAGTGGATCCTCATCCGTTTTCCAACGGCCAGCATGTTCCACAAGGACCTGGAAAACATTAAAATTGCTACAATTAGAATAAACCCACTGACAGATTGATTAAAGTTAAAGCCAACTGCTGATTCGGCACATCCTAGTATAGAATAACTGGCTGGGAAAAATGAAAATCCAAGCTTATAAAAATAAACACCATGTGTTTAAATCACTATCATCTTTCTTTAGCGCTGAAACAACTACTCAATTACTCCATCACGTAAAAATGCACAACATCCTGTGTCTAGCTTCTCATATGTGAGAATTTGCTGCTTTTCTCTGTTTTACATCATTTGGAAATTGAATTTCTTTGGGGTTTTGGGCAACTGCCTGGATAAAATAACCAATTTAGAGATGTCACCTTTGGCACTGGGAAATTGTGTCAGGCATGTTTCACAGTTCTGACATTTTGTAAACTCAGCAAATAATCAGTTAATCTTAAAACCAACCGACAGATTGGAGATTGGAGACTGGAGACAGGTTTCAGACCTATTTTGCTTATTTATTAACTTTTTTTGTTGTATATGTGTATTTACATATAGACAAATTATGCTTAGTGATGCCCCTGTGTCAATAATATAAGCTAAGTAAAATCAGAATCAGCTTTATTGCCAGGTATTTGTAAACATACGAGGAATTTGACTCAGGATTGTACATTGCTCATGATGTGCTTACTCATAAATGTGTCCATAGTAGTAAAAAGACAAAATACAGGCTTCATAGTCATGGAGACTGAATCAAAATCAAAGTTGTTAAGTGAGAAAAAATATTCCTCTGTACTAGGACTGATTACAAACATGTTGTAAAAGATTTAGCTTTGCCGTTTGCTTTGACTTGAAAAAGCAACTTAAGATTTTAATATATATCACAAACTATTAAAGTTGAAATGTTTAATTTGCATCAATATTTATTTTGTTATTATTTGCTGATAATGATGTCATGTAGACACCTAAAACAACAAAGCACCAAGTTATGAGTAGCCTTTTTTTATCCTCCCTCTCTTTTTTCCTTTCCCTCAGCTCAAGTAATGCCAAACCTTCATCTCTTAAAAAAGTCCCTCCATTTCTTCCACCCACAATATTCATGCCGATCCATTTCATCCAGAATGACTCTAATATGCAGCTGTAAGTTACTTTTATTAGATAAATCTCGATCATGAGCATTCAGCATAGGGTCCGAGGCTCATCCCCCCCTTTTCCCCCTCAAATAACTTAAACTTAAAGTTTAATTAATTCCTCACTGCCGGTTAATGTTGGATAGAAACAAACCCATGATCTTACATTAATTTGGTGCAATGACAGTAATCCTTGCAGTATCAGATGGATATCAGGTAAATGGATACCTCGCGTGATATTTACGTGGTCAGGGCAAATTAATGAGGAGGATGTGTAATGGAGTCAGTGACCACTGCCACCCTTTCCCTTTTTAAAATCACTGCCACGGCCAGCTGCAGGCACATCGGTTGCCATAAAATTGAATCAATTTAACATCTTTTTTTCTGGTGCAGGCTATATGACTATAACGAGCATCTCCGCTGATGTGGTTAGCAGGATTAATTAGTGCACAAGGCCTGGGCTAGCACCTTAGAAAAATCATTGATCTTTCCGTACGATAAAACAGCTTCATAAAAGTAACCCCTTTTCCATCAAGCGAAAACTTAAACAAGCATGGAGATGCAGTATAATAACGTCTGAATGATATTTTCTACGTGGCGTATACTCTTGTAATTCAGTGCATATCAATGCAATCGCCCTGTAAAATCTCGCTAACGTAGCTTTCCATTTTTTGCACAGCATGACCACTGCACAGGACAGGGGGACCCTGCATACCAGCTAGCAACATCCATCTGCTATTAGCTATGTGGCCTGGAAAATACGAGTAATACATGCACAATGCACACACATTGCTGTGACTTCTCGCCGCGTGGATAGTGAGACTTTGCAAATAAGTTAAAGCCACAGACAAACATCATTGAGGGAATAGCTGAAAACCGCGGAGGAGTTTTTTTCCCCATCTTGAAATGCCAGGCAGCTAGCTATGCAGCTAGCTCCTTAGCTACATTGTTGTAGCAAACGTAGACGCGCATCCTCGGCCAGGAAGCCAGAGGGGCTGCAGGCTGCCCGGGATGAGCAGCAGGAGAACGGGCTAACCTGGCAAAACTCCTGGCAGAAATGCAGCGAGGCTTCCAGCGGAGACTGCAAGCTCTCTTTCAAAGCTGTGGTCAAACCCTGGAACCGCTCTCGGAGCTCCTCGATGGCTTTCCGTGTGTCATATTCCTTCTCTGTCTCCCCCTCCGCCATCTTCACAACAATCACGACCGCGTACGCACAGATGTTACGCTGCCAGACTCGCACTCGCACGCGCACGCAGGGGAGGGGGTGGCGATGGGGTTGAGGGGTGGGGATGGCTGGGGTGGGGGAGGGCACACAGTGTGCTCCAAATACACATACACCCCCTGATGTCAAGAAAGCATCCATGACCTTACAGTGGCACAAAATCACACTCTTCACACAGGCAGGGCTGAAATGTTTGCTTATGAGCTACTCTCAGGTATGACTGGACTTTCCCTGAACATGCTCCATGCTATACCATCCATGCACAGACACTACTGCATGTCAGCTATGACCTCCATTAAGCAACCTCTGGGAAGCAAATTGTATTTTCCAACAAGTTTTAACCAACCTCCAAAATCTCCAAGGCAAGATAATCATGTCTTTCTTGTCCCTCCAGACTTAAACACTTAAAAAGAGTGATGCTAAAATATCATTGGTTACTGTACAGTAGTTACTATGATGTGCACTACAGTTTATGTTAACTTCTTAGTTTTTAGTTCTTAGTAAGTTTTACATTACCCTCAAAATGTGTCTAAATTTATTTCCGCAAACAAACTAAGGTGTTGACTTTCCACATTACAATCTCCACACGTAAGAAATGTGCATTAAATAGGCATTTTATTTCAAAATAATTTTGATTCTGGCGCTGTTCTATGTATAGTATGTCATACCACACAACCTTCATCAGCATCACTTGTCATGGAAATGTAGAGGTTAAAATTACCATTTTTTTCTCCTTTTTTTGTTTTGAGCACTTTAATGACTTCTCTCCAGCTTCAATTTTTTATTGGCTACTTGACTGCCAGTCCTGATTGGTGAATCAGGGTTGTCATAGCACAAGCTTGTAATCAACCTCAAAGTCAAGTTTCACTTTCAGACAGTTTCTCACTTTCCCTTTCACTGCATTCATTTAGACACATATGTCAACTTACGTAAAACGATTTGTTACACAACCAAAACAATTAGCCTACTCCTCCACACATGCCCACACACACTACAATCCCATGCATTTTAGTGTAGGACAAATTCATGAAAATGCAACATCTGGGTGCACATTTTAATTGCTTTTCAATCTACAGGAAATAATATACATATATCAATGCAAAATGTAGATGTCACATTACACATCGCAAACACAGGATTCCTACAAAAATATTTTCTGGAAAAGCAACAACTTACACTGTAAAACAGACAAGAGCTTGTGCATATTAAAAGAAACACAATTTGTTGCAAAGCGGACTGCTGCAGAATGGTCTCCACTTTCCACTTTCCTTTTGTCATATCTTGTGAAAATAGCAAGTGCTGCAGTGGCAGTCTGTATGGTTTCTCACCCTTATGCCGGCCACCTCTGTCTGAAAGAAGAACAGATCGAGAAAGAAACAAGAGTGAATATTAACAAAGCCTCATCAATCTACAGCAGCAACTATGTATGATGGAATGTTCTTTTTAGCATTGTGAGGAGTCGAAACGTCTGCACTTCTGAACAACTTGAAGTGACAGAAACCAGAATTGAAATAAACTGCAAAATCAATTAAAACAAATACAGTCAGGACAGACTCTTTTCAATCTCGCTATAACCTCTACAATGTATAGTAAATAGGCACAGTATTAAGAAAAGACTAGCATGTCTTGTGTCTGCTCCTGTACCTCGTAGCTGTGCTTGGCGACACAGCACGTTGCCTCCGAGGTGATGTTCTTTGGGATCGTCATTGTCTTCATGGCCTTGAGAGGGGTTGGGTACGCTCTGGAGAAGCAGCAGCCCATGCACTGGTAGACTGGACGATCCCTCGAGAAAACAATGTTCTTTCTCAGTGTGCACTCCTCACAGCCCACTGGAGAAAGACGATACAAGTTTTACAACCAGAGTCAAAAAAGTATTGATCACGAACAGCTTGTGATACAGAGCCTGTAACAGCTGAAATCTGAGACTGAAAGCACAGTGCACACTCTTTGTGAATAGAGATAAGTAAAAGCAGATGGTGCCAATTCACTGAACAAGATCCTTAGTTTGTGTACTCACATTACATTTAAATTTCAGTTATTATTTACATATGAACAATTAAATGCCTTTATAGTAAATGAGAGGAGAGTACTTAACACACTAGTGCTTTTATTATAAACAAATCTTACTGTTTGACAAGTCAGTGTTGGGGTATGAATCAGCTACATAAAGAAGAAAAGACAACAGGAGAAGAGAAAGTCCGGCTGACTTCACTGAGCCCATCGTGGTTGAGGCAGTTACCTAATATAACAGAGATAAAACAAAATGGTCAATCAAAAATCTGTTGAATCAAGCCAGAGTAAGCCATAGAAAGAGATAGAGTATTACCATGTTGAGAGAAAGTACCCCCTTCATTGTGCTTCTGTGTGGGAAGGCTTTTTATTGAAAACCTCTGCTTCACTCCAGGTCAATTTATACCCGTGCCCCGCAGTGTGTGACGACTTCCTGGATTAAGTGAACCCTACCAACCTTATCAGTGATCTCACTGACTCACTGCCCACTTTGCAACCTTTCTCATAATCCCTTTAAAGCACAAAATTATGGTGAAAAGTCAAAACATACTTCCACCATCCTTCCTTCCTGACTATGGATGCTGCATTTAATCCCTGGGTTTTTGTTACTTGGTAACTGAGGGTTGTTATTAAATGTCATGTCACAGCAAAAGAAGGGTCATTAGTTTTGGCGTTTCTTGACTCATTTTGGCTTGCTGCAGAAAGACTGTTTGTAGCCTGTGAGTGGCCTAAATGTGTTATGCGTAAATTATAAAGAGTGTCAGAGGCATAGGCTATCACTTTCTAAAGCAATGTCCTAGGTGTCACAAACTTGTAAAAAAAGAAAAATAAAAGAAAAGTTTTTGGATTCACTTTCGAGACATTCTGAATATTAATTACATGATGTGTATTTTCCCATATACTATAAAATCTAATGAAATAGGAGTAAGTAAAATTGTCTTTGATTTCAAGATAGACATACCCAATTTGAGAAGGTTCTGGCTGCCTCCTGGCAAAAATGAACAATTTGAGATCTTCCTTGAGTTAAAATCGATTTTGTTGATTGGCATCTATTTTGAAAGTGAAAACATGCCCAAACATTCTGTAGTTCCAGCTTCTCAAATTTGGTGTGGCTTTTTTTTGTGTCATGTATGATTGTTAATTGAACACTGGTGGAGTTTGCACCTTGGTCGGACACAACAAGGCATTTTGAGGTGTCACAAGGGTCTCTTGGAAGTTGTGTTGGGATTTTTTTTAAGGTAGATATTTAATAGACTAAACAATTAATCACTTAATAAAAAAAATCGCACACTAATCCTAATAAAATCATTATGTAGTTTAACAATGCATACTATACATATTAATACAACAAAACGCTGGAATGCTGCCATATGTCAGTTTAGGTTTAAAAATAACACATATTATTTAGAAATATATATGAATGATTAATTTATATTGGGTGTATTATTTCTACCCATAATTCTTGACTATATATTGAGGTAAAACTAATTTCAGTGACCCTGGCTCCTTCAAAACTGTAGGCTGGATGGAAGAGGTGATGAATAAATGGAGAGATATTTGATAGTCGATATTTGAGGTCTGTCCACCTCCTACATCTGAAATGTCAAGGATGAATATGAATTTATTTTGTATTTCATCTGTCTGTTTACTTAAGTACCCATGTCCTGTGTCCTTGGTTGTGCTGGTGATAAATCCTTGGCCTAAGATTTGTAATTCAGTAAGAGCAAAAAATGAGATGGTAAATCCCACAGATGTTTAAAGGGAGTTTTTGTGTTGTCTAAATTCACAGTATTTGTACCCTTCTATCCAAAGTTGTTTTGTAAATCATTTAACAAATGGTGCTAATTGTCCTATAAATGGCTGTTACACTGTGTGTTGTGGCTTTGGCTATATGTAATTTTAGTTATATATTGTACAATCATTTAATCAAATAAAATGTACTGTCTATATAATTGACACACATTATTTGACCACATCTACCTACACAGACTTACTGAAAAATACATTTCAAAACATTAAAAAATAATCTCGATCATCAACCTGAGGGAAAAATGAGTAACAACAACTCTCTCGGGACCCCACAGGTTATTGATCATATCATGCTTACTTGTCTGGGACTCTTCTATTACATCAGACTTAGCTATTGGCAGCTGTGTTTGAAATAACTGCTTGAAATAATCATAGAGTGGACTGGTGACTGAGTTAAATGTTTCCGAGCCAGCTGAGTATGTTTAAGATACTAAGAGATGGGATGTTATGAGATATTTAAGAAAAAAGGCAACCAGGTGAGAATAGAGGCACAGAGGATTAGTTTGAGGACATGTTCCTTTCTCTATATTTCGATGCTGTTATTGACCCGCTATACATCCTCCTGATGTATGTTTCTTATGTTCTGCAGGCAGCAAGATCAAGATGCTCTGACTCTCTCTTTGTGTCCTACTGGATCAGGATGAGGACAAGAACCAAATCAATTCAATTTTATTTATTATTTTTATTTATTTATTATTTATATAGCGCCAATTCATAATATGAAAGTTATCTTGTTGCATTTTTGATATAGAGCAGGTCTAGACCGTACTCTTTGTAATATTATTAACAGAGACCCAACAATTCCCACCATGAGCAAGCACTTGGTGACACAGGCAAGGAAAAACTCCCTTTTAGGAGGTATAAACCTTGAGAGAAAAAGATAGAGAGAGGGAGAGGGTGAGAAGCAGTCCAGCACAATATCCACACAGACATACAGTAAAGGTGGTAATGGTACACACGGAAAAAAAATTATAGTACTAATAATGATAGTTTTAATGATAATAATAATAGGACTAATAATAATAATAATAACAATCGTAGCAATGGGTGTCAAGCAAGAACATGAGGGCAGCAGAAAGATTGTAACCACAGATCCAGACCCCACAGCCCCGGAGGCAGAAACACCTTCAGAAAGCAACAGACATGTAGAAAGCCCCAGCTGTACAGTAAATGGTGTGTAGCCCACATGGTCATGCTCTGGGACACACTAGTGAGATATATGCTCCGGTGTCAACACTGCCACTGTTGCTGTAGTCTGGAGAGAGCACAGGACACACAGTGAGGTTAGCAGGTCATGTCTATTCTCAGCCAGGTGCTACACAGTTCAAAGCCAATGTGCTCTAGATGGCATCCCCAAGATAACCCCCAACAAGCCAGTGACACCAGACAACAAATGAGGTAATTAGATTAGACCTGTAATTTTCTTGGTTATGAAGCTAATGGCAATATTATTAAGTGAAGCAGTAAAGAGAAAAGTGAGGATGATTATGAAAACCATCAAGTCCGTCCATATTCATGATCCTAGCTCATTCCCAGCTCAACACAAACTGAGGGTTGACTAAAAAATATTAATTAAATGAAAGTCACAGCAGGCTGTTAAAAGATGTTGCACTCTGGACAAGTGCAAAAATTCAGTAGTTTACCAGTTAAAAATGACTATCCATCTTATTTATTGCATTTACACAAAGATTTTTCTTTTTTAAATTCTTGTAAAATATTAATTATTTTCCTTAAATTCAAAGCATCATTTTAATGGGATATAGGTAATTTTGCACCATACATGCAGGCACACACACTTATGCTCTTGTGTGCTCTTGTAAACACAAAAACAAAAGGCTGAATGTGATGAACAAGGGTTTTGCTCAAGATGTGTTGCTTAAGAGCTCAGATAATTTTGCTTTGGTTGATGAGTACACAGAGGCACTCTCTCCACATGGTGGCATGAGAGATCTGCAGTGTAGGAACAATTAGATTGGTCCTTATCTTATTCAAGAGTTCGTATGGAGCCAAAAATACTGGCTCTGCAGGTTCTCAGAGGCTTTTATGCTGGAATAATGATTGTATGTCACTGAAATCAAAGTAGAAGTTGTCAGAGACAGACAAACAATGAGGTTTTCATAAGCATGCATAAAAATTGTGTCTGGGTTGAAGAGGAAATTTGATGTCAATACTGACCTTGTTCATTCCTCAAACTCAGAACATTTTAATACGTCAATCCAAACCTAAATACTTATTTTATCCTGGAGTTTTTTTTACTTGAGAATCTTGTTAATCATGATCAAATCAGGCTTTTGGCATACGCCTCTTGGAACAATGAACAGTGCTGTTGTCGTACCAGTCATGCCCATCTTGGGTCCTCATTTTCAATTTAGAAACAAAACCAACAAAAATTTCCCCTTTTCTGTTGTTTCTATTTAAGGGGCTGCACCTCTATAAATAATGCTGAAACTGGATCTTCATTTGACTTTTTATGGTAAAATAAGGTTTATTTTATAGTTCCAGCAGTTCAGAATCACAAATTCTACCGACAGAGTTTTGGCTAATACCTGAAAATCTACAGAGCTCTTCTACAGTCATGGTTATTAGTTTTAGAGCTGAATACAAAACATTCTGAGCCAATTGTTTTGTACTGAAATATCTTTCTGAGCTATGATAACGATTTGTTGACAAGCCTTTAGTGGCATGAGTAATTAACGTATTGTAGTCTCATACAGTGAAAAACATTACTCTGAACTCCATCTGTAGAGTTTCCAGGTCTATAACAGGCTGCAGCTGATTAAACAAGAAGGCAAAGCTTATAAGCAAAGTCTTAATTATGCCAATAGTATTTATTTTATTACCTTTCTCTGGATATTCTTTGTTTTGATAATATCTGAACTTTCATTTATTCTTTCTTAATCATTATGTTAAACTTTGCCATTCTGTGAAACAACTTGCAACAGACTTGGATTCTGTCTATGAAACATTAGTACTGATTGGGGAAATGTTCCAGGAAATCCATCTGTAGCTCAGTTCCTCAACAGCTGCGTAAGTTATTCCTCTAAATCTTCCAGCCATCATCATCCAGCTGTTAAGGCTCTATACCTGTGGGGGTTGTTGGAGTCAGTTACCTGCTAAAAGTTTTATTATTTCAGCCATGAGCCAAAGATTAAGGCTGTGAATCATGCACCCCAGCTATGATGAAGATAGCAGATAACCCAATTCAAAATTCATACCTACATTTTATTGTAAGTATTTTCAAGGATCAACACTGACACATGTACATTTCACATGCTAATTACTGATAAGTAATGTATTAATCTTGGACTGTTCAAATATGTTAATTGTAATTTAAAAATATATTAACAGGTGGGATTTGACCAGTTTTTGACACACACAGTAAGATATTGAGAACACTTAACATTGCTTAAAAACTAGATTTTTCTGCAACAAACTAAGACACGTGTAGCACATTTTTATTCAAATCCAGTTTGTAAAGCATGGATGATGAAAAATAACTTTTCTTTCCCATAATGTGGCAGAGAATATTTTACAACAGCAGTACAATTGTTATGTACTTTGGCATTACATAAATAAAGAACTCTTCACTAGAGAAA